GTGTTCCGCCCATCGTTCTAAACGTCTGGTCTGGGGGCAGATAAGATTGTTTCATTTACACTTGACTTCTTAATCCTAGTTTCTTTTATTAGTCTAAAATGCTGTTCGGTGTTACCTACGGCCGCTGCCTTTTTCATCTTTTTTATTTCGTTGCCCACCACTGCTCACGGTCGTTCCTTAGGCTTTTGGTTAACCTAGGTCTGATTTGTTTTCGTTATTCATCGTGTTCAGAGCCTGGTCGGATGAGTTTACGAGAATCTATCAGCGTAATAAACTTAGTACAAATCCATTGGTTTTTCGTAACCCTTTGTTTTAAATCACTAATAGATTTCGATCACTATAATACAAATGCATCCACTTGTGATTTAAAATCATGGAAATGTTATCACTCATCATTAATTATTGTATAACTCGTTGTTTTGTTCACCTAAATATCACATTTTTGTTGGCATTCTTTTCCTATGATGGTGCGCTTGGTGTGGCAACGTAAACTGATATACTTTTGTACAATATTCGCTTTGGTTATCTCTAACAAAATTTCACAAACCTAAACTTGTGTAAATTTTTCACACATGGCTATTTGCTTTACTAGTTTTAACGATTTCATTGTATAATTTTGTTCTTCAAATCAGCGTCCATAGTTTCCGTACTCTAGTATTTCCTGCTAGGTAAAGTTGAAGAGCTGTGGTAAAGACTAACAGTCTAGACCAAATTATGTCTCAAATACCACTATCAAATTTTGTTCATTCTTATGTTTTTATCTTTTCATTAATCTCTGTGTTGTGCCGGTACAAACGGTCCCATGTTGGATTTATCTGTCTAACTGCTAGCGTGAGCTTTTATGGAAAATGTTGTCTATTACATTAACAGTGTTATCCTCGTTTGATATCTTTGATTGTACATTTTTTTCTAAGATGTCATCCTATGTAACATTTCATCGGCAAACTATGGTACCAGTTTTATGCTCTTTACTAATTACCTGCATCAACGTATCTCGAACATCAACCAGTAAGAATAAAAGCGACTTAGAGCATTGCGCAAACGTGTATCGATTGGAATTACCATGTTTAACACTAAAGAGAGTAATAATTTGTCTCACTAAAGTAGAATGTTTTGAATGGTTGTGACAGGAGTTGATATATCGGCAGTTGAAGTCATGGATTACTTAGACACTTATGTGAATCACTAAGACTTCGTGTATTTATCGATTGATCGTGATGCGTACAGAAACATCACTAGTAAATCTAAGGATTGATGAATACTTATAGACTGAACAACTGAGTTGAATAGTGCTTTCCTTTTTCTAGTCATCAGAAGTATTTCTTCTGTTATTTTGTTTACATTACTGTTAAAATGTTCTGTAAACTTTTAGTTCCTGTCGTTTATTTTCAAATCACTTTGAGAACACGAGATTTACCAATGTTCTATTTAGTAGACAGCGGAATAGTTGTGATTCATTGTCTTTTTTCCTTTCATTTACTTGCATTAACAAAAATAATAGGTATAAAATACGTGCTAGTAAAAAAAATCAAAATCTATGGTTTGTTTTCTATGAGACAACAGATACTATTTATATTATGTTTATATATTCATTGTTTCCGAATAGCTCTGGCGAATGAATAATTGTCCACTATATGAAAACTAAAGGAAATTGAAGGAAAAAATTTAGGTCTATGAACCTAGGGTTTAATAACTGAGTGCTGCTTAGATTAATTAATCAGTTAATAGTTGAATACCCTGATCAAATAGGCCAAAGTTGTATTTATTTGAACATAAATACTGGTACAAGGGGGCATGTTATAACTCTGCTTCTTACGGTTGATGGCCCAGCTATTCCTATTGCTTAGTATTCTCGGACACAGATTCACTCGACAAGTCCCCAAATCAAAACACGGTTGAACAGGAAAAAGATTATATTCCAAATAGCAAGTCAGAAGCACAATGGGGGAAAACGTCGGTATATTTATAGTTTTTTACATAAGAAGATTCCAGAATATTCTCCGACTATCGACTGGTGCTGATTGGATAAGAATCAGCCAATCAGCGTGCACCAAAACAATCATGCATTGAGCATGCTTTAATCTAGTCTATGTCCCGCTAACAGGGTACCAAATACATATGCGACACACAGATCTCATTTGATATGGGTAAGGGCCGTGATACTGCCCGGGTGCCCAAACCGAAGCAGGTGGTGTTCTTAGGGGGCCACACCCGGAACATTCGACCTGAAGGTCTGATCCACAAGACAGTGGAGCATCGTAAGGAGATGCAGTCCCGTGGTAGCCGGTGACCAACGATTGGTTCATACGCCATTTGTTCCTTCAGGATACTGGAGCCCATGTGCACCATTGGTTCGGAATTAGGGTTTTCCAACTCCCCCTAGGTGGATTTTCTGTACCCACCAACCCAGTTAAAGTCGGTGCCGGACATTCGCTTTTCGTCTTCTCAGTTTCGTAAACAACACTCGTTGTGCGCGAATGCAATGAGTAGGATTTCCATGGCAGAGTCTATATACGCGTGACCATGTGAGAGCATTTGAAGAGGCAGAGCGGGTTTTCCCCACTCTCGGGTGTACCAGGCCATTTGGGGGCAAACAGTGGGATTCAGGACGTGTTTCGTTCTATTTGAGACTCGTCAGTCGGATGTACCTGCAGCTCAGAGTTGATGTTCACTCTGTGTTATAACTCTGTTTTCTTACGGTTAATGACCCAGCTATTCCTATTGCTTAGTATTCTCGGACACCGATTCACTCGACAAGTCCCCAAATCAAAACACGGTTGAACAGGAAAAAGATTATATTCCAAATAGCAAGTCAGAAGCCAGTAGGAAGCACAATAGGGGAAAACGTCGGTATATTTATAGTTTTTACATAAGAAGAATCCAGAATATTCTCCAATTATCGACTAGCGCTGATTGGATAAGAATTAGCCAATCAGCGTGCACCAAAGCAATCATGCATTGAGCATGCTTTAGTCTAGTCTATGTCCCGCTAACACCTCCCCTCTGAGCAGATTCGTAGGATCTGGTGCTAGGGTCCAACTGCAACTGAGTGACTGGCTTGTGCTTTCGATTAGTCCATCGTCTAGGCAATGAAGAATTCTCACTTTTTCCTTGCACAGAGACTGACATGTCTGTTCCCGGCGTTTTGATTTTTCTTAAAAAAAAGTATGCATAACTTCTAATTCTCCAACATTCTCCTCCTCCTCGAAATAATGTTGGGTCCTTATGGCTCCAAATTATAACTAGTAGGACTTTATTTAAACCCTGTTTCTCGTATTGACTGGAGAATCCACTAAAAATGACTAGATGATGATGAACAACCTTTGATCTGAGTTCATTATTTTCAAATTCATTATGAATCTCGTTAGCTGATAACGAGTCATTAAGAAAGTCAACGTCTAACAGAATTAGATTAGATTTTTGGCCATCATTCGACTCAGCTGACATATTTCCCTCATTGTTATAAGACGGTTCATCAAAATCATATGCATTATTCTGAGAATCAATATCTGGTACACTGTCATTAGAAATGGGATAAGTTGACTCAATATAAAATTCTGTCTTCCGGTGATTTTGAGTAACATCTGGTACAATTTGGTTCATCGTGTTGCTCCAGTTATTTTCTGAATACGAGTCACCATAGCTTTCTCGACTAATAGCACGTGGACCACAATTTTGTTCGAGCTGACGTTTATTTTCGCAGCTAGACAGTACCAGTAGTGTTTCATTTGATTCTGGACTCCGGGCTTCATCTACAGGACCTGGCTCCTGATCATCTGGTATTGTCACAACTTCATGTGCATTCAGCACAGTATTTTCTTGCTGTGAGCCGGACACGTTACAAATATTACGTTCTGATTCAGGTATAAAGGGATTTGAACCCTCCACTAGATATGCTTCTGAAATGTCTGTTACTGCATCATAAACAGATTTCTTATTTTCTGGTCGAGTGAAAAGTGTGTTCAATAGTTGTTGTTGCAAGGCTAACAACTTCTGCTGGTGCTGTAATATTTACCGCAACTGTTCTAAAGAAATCGCCATTTTTCTTTAGTTTTTCCCCGTCGCCACTGTTATAATTCTATTTTCTTACGGTTAATGACCCAGCTATTCCTATTGCTTAGTATTCTCGGACACCGATTCACTCGACAAGTCCCCAAATCAAAACACGGTTGAACAGGAAAAGATTATATTCCAAATAGCAAATCAGAAGCCAGTAGGAAGCACAATAGGGGAAAACGTCGGTATATTTATAGTTTTTACATAAGAAGAATCCAGAATATTCTCCAATTATCGACTAGCGCTGATTGGATAAGAATTAGCCAATCAGCGTGCACCAAAGCAATCATGCATTGAGCATGCTTTAGTCTAGTCTATGTCCCGCTAACACTCTGGGACTTGGACTCAGTACCGTTCGCTCTAAACGCCATCGTGTTATCCTCTTAGCTAGTGAGTCTAGCAAAGTGTATTTAGATCTATCATAAATATCATTTAAATGATACCTGTTTGTAAAATAACTTTGTAGACTTTGATTCGTTTACTCACTTCTGAATCATAAGTTATTCTTAACTCAATCTTTATTTTTATTTTTAAACTAGTATCTGTCATGTTTCCTTATTCATTAAAGCTTAAATTAAATCATCATTTTATTTTGTTGATATTTATTCATTGTACTGATATGAGATGTGATAACTTTGATCAATGTTGATAATGATACATAACACGTGTTTTGTACACATGGGTAATTCTCTTAATTAAAGAAAAGTAAAAAAAAGCAATGATTTAAGTAGTATAATATAAATTTATTGTGTTTTTACTCATTTCATGTTATTTTGTATCATTAACTTATACCGATCTTGCAGTATAACACAAGTAAACATGTTATGTTTTCATTACTTATTATAAAAAGATTGTTTTTTCGTCTTTTTTGTTTTTAAGAAAAGATTTTTTTTCTAAGTATTCGCTTATTACATTTTTTTTCTGTATATATCTATTTATTAAAGCATTGAATTGGAACTAATTTGAAAGCACACACAGTATGTCAAGTGGTGGGGCAACTAGTGTAGTGACGATGAAAGCAACTGCAGCTGCATTCCCACAGTCCAATTCACAAGCACAAAAACAACATTCACAAAATAATTTACAACCAACAAATGTGTTTGATCAACAAATTCAGTTACAACAGCAACAACATCAACAACACCAGCAACATTTGTTACAACAACAACAATTACAGCACAATCCAAGTCAGCATTCTCAATTGCATCGACTATCTCAGCCACATTTATCGGCATCAATTCATCCTGTTCAATCGATTGCTCAAAATGTTGTTGCTGCCAGTGGTCATTCAACTCATCCAAGTGTCTTTCCAAATGCTGAATTTTTTCAAACATTACAACAAACTGCCGCAGCGGCTGCATTACCAACTGTATTACCATACGATCAATCACAATATATTGGTCAATTAATGTATTTTCCTTATCCCACAGCTGCTGCTGCTGCCGCAAATGGATTGTTCAATACTGGACAATCAAATGATACTACTACTCATCATATGTCGATTGGTTCGTCTACACCTGGTGGTAGTGGTGCTGGTAATCAAGCAACAATTATTAATCAAGCATCGTGTCATGCTACAGCTGGACAATTATTAACTGGTGGACTTGTATCAGCCACACCTAGCGGAATGATGACTTTGAATAATGCTACTGGTTCAAATCAAGTCAATAATGCTAATCATCTCTTTGCATCTGGAGCAGGATTAGTTGGAATTGGTGGCAGTGGCGTCGGTGGTGCATCCGGTTCAAATGCAGTTTCTGTGTCTAATTCCGCTTCTTTGGCACCTTTATTTACAACTGCTCATTTTTATCCGCACCATCATACACAGCAAACTGGTCAACAACAGCCACAACAACAGTTTCAGATTCATCATTCATTACAACAACCGCATCATCCACATACATCTGTACATATGCAACATGTTCAAACACTTACAGGTCATCCAGGTGTCCATCTACAACAACAACAACAACAGTCGACCGCCGCTGTTGCTGCGGCAGCAGCAGCTGCTGCTGCCGCCACTGTTCTGTTGCCAAGCTCCATATCGTCAGCACCACAACTTAATATGCTATCCTCTCAACAAACTCATCAACCGGTGCATTCAACTTCACAAAATCATTCAAATCATAATAATAATAGTAATAATAATAATAATGAAAATTTACAAAAAACTGAAGAAAAACTACAATCTACTACACCAGTGCATACACCTCAAAAACAGTCTGATCAAGAACTATTATCCCAGTCTACTCAACTAGGTACACCATCTCAAGGAAATAATAGTAGTTTGGATGCTAGTTCAACTACAGTGAAACGTGATAACAATGGTACAGGACATTTTGTGTAAGTTTATTATTCATGAATACTTTATTTTACTGCTTGTTTCTCTGTAATGAAAACTTGTGATATGCTGCCCGAATACCTTAACTGGAGTAGACGGGTAGCAAGATTCGAGCTTGTGATCTAGTGGCCGGAATTCGAACGCCATCGCTTACTACTAAACCACCATTCCGTTTTAAACTTACTAAGTGATGTATACTTGATAAACATGTTAGAGTTTCTTATGTATGCGAGATTTTCATGTTAATCGTTAAGTCAGAGTTTATGACAAACTGTCATCAAGATTTTCAACCTCAAGCGGTGTTCGTCAAGATTGCTTACTGTCTCCCTCTTTACTTAATTTTTTCATAGACATTCTCCTAGCGGCAGCTCTCTCATCGTCCAACTTTTCAGGAATCGACCTCTTACCAGATGACTCACTTGTTGACTTAGGATATGCAAATGATAAAATGCTGTTTAATTAGGACGCTGATAAATACAGTGTTCATATCTCGTTGAGCGACGATGCAAGCGTGATGAGATGGGTTTCTATCCCTCCAAATGCTAAATGCTTCTTCACAACTGGTCTATGTCAACGTTTGGACCAATCGTAGGGAGCAAAGTAGTTGAATATTATGTTCTGTGGCCCGTCAAATATTACATGACAGAATCTCCAATCAGAACACCGGCTTATATGACCTTGTCCCTGTACTGAACCACTGATACACCAACCAGCACTAACAACCTTGTGTCAACTCAGAGTCTTTAGTGGTCCTCTGTATGTTTAGTAGCTTCTCTCCTAACCCAGTTCGTTCAGTCCAGAACACGAATATCAGCCTCCACTGTGTGATTTGTATATTTCAGACATACGTGGTGTATGTACAAGCAGGCCAGACCACCTCATACCATAAAATGAAAAATAACAATTATTCAAGATCAAGCCAAAAGTGGGAATAAATTGAGGATGGTAAATCGTATAACAGTAGCCAATTGGTCAAATGAAAGCTTATGATAAAAGGAATATGAATGTAGATATAATCTAGTTACTTAATAATTATCCAATAAGAATATATATGTAATAATTGTCCATAAATAATCCCTAGTAGCTACCACTCATTTATTCTTCGTTCGGATGTAACATCGAGCGTTTCGATCACTTCATTTATCTTGGAATTCTGATCAGTCCCAGTGTTTTGGTGTCTGGTGAAATATTGGTACGAATTCAGAAGGCTCTATTGGTTTTCATCAATTTATGTTGATTATGGTGTAGGCAAAATTTTGAATCTCAGTATTCCTTCGTATATTCTTTCCCACTTTGTCTTTTAAAACTATAATCCCAATGTTCAGTCGTTCTTATTGTCATTGTTACCACATTATTTCGATCTCTTTTCCCATTCATCTTGTTAGTACTTCAAGTTGGATCTTTCTCTACGTTGGTGTTCCCTACTAACTGACTGACTTAGCTATATTTCTCATTATTAATAAACATAATTTCCTGTTTATTATTAAGTGTAATATGTCATGACTTTCTACCTACATCGATTAGTTATTAAATGTTGATTCAACTGTTCACATATCTATAATTTCATATTCACAAATGTGGATCATTCTACGTTGAATAATTGCATGTTCACACTCGTTCGGGGAAAGTGAATTTAACGGTGTTTGTTTATACACATTATGATAAGATTCATTAACTCTTTTTTATTTTCTCAAGTATTCGCTGTTCTAAGAGAAGTGATATAAGAATTTATCACTAGAGTGCAAATAATACCTTTTAGATTTTTAGTGAACTTTAGATGCGTTATAAACTTCGATCAAATGTACAATGTAATTCATCTGTATGTGGGTATATTGTTACCGTTTACTACTTTTAACTTGATATAAATGAAATAATTCAATTAATTTTGTTTATTTAATTTTAGATGCGGTGTATGCGGTCGAGAATTCGGTATGCGATGTCGTCTTATCGCTCATACTCGACGTCATACTGGTGAACGTCCTTTTCCTTGTGCTGATTGTGGACGAGCTTTTTCAGATAGAGGAAATTTACAACGTCATCGTTATACTCATTCAAGTCAACCAAGATTTCATTGTACAGTTTGTGGAAAATCTTTCCGTCAAGTAATCAATTAGTTAATTAATATTTGCACTTGACGAAGTTAGTTGATTTTATTAACTCGATTTTCAGATGCAAGGTCGTGGACGCCCACTCTTAAGGAGTCCCATGCCAGGGAGAAATAACCATCCAGTCCTTACATATTTCTATTGATGGCCTAACTAAGACTAGTTCGTGATTTGAAACCATGTAATCGGCGAATCTTCTTGATACTCCGACAGTAGGGAATTATGAAACATTACCCCCTACTATCTTGCTTTTTTAAATCTCACTAATCCCTCACATCATACCACTATTACTGTTTATGCATACATGTACAATTGTGGGATATACATTGACCATTTAATCTGGCTGTTCTACTTTGTGACAGCTTAAACCGATGCACACATCTGCCAGGTTCTACGTTGCATATGCCTAACTGCCTTGTTTCCATTCACCTTTAAATACCAGTGACCCTTGTATAGTGGGACGAAAAATATATATGAGGATTATCTTGAGGATACATAGATAACATCAGAGACAATGTAATAACGATGGCTTAGTTGTTGAAACACTCAGTTTCTAATTAATAAGTTAATTATTGATACTGTTTCGGTCTGGGTATTCAAATAAAGAATCACCATTGATCCCATCAAAATTGTGGCTCAAAAGTAATATCCAGCATATACAATAGTTTTGATATCACATTGAATGGTATGAAAGAAGTAAAACTAACATCTTTTTTTGGTTCTTATTTTTCTATTTTAGAAATAAATTTGTTCACTAATGTGCGTTTATACTTTTCACTATTATTATCCCATATTCTATGTTCGTTTTTCATTAGGCTTCATGTTTATCAAATCATCGACGTTTTCATTGTGCTGGAGCTACAGGTCGTCCTTGTCCTTTCTGTCAACGTTCTTTCCGTTCTTCATCCAGTCTTCAGATGCATATTCGGTGGAAACATCGTGCTGATGCTGCGGCAGCTGTAGCAGCAGCTGCGGCCGCCGCTGCAGCTAACGGTTCATCTTCACTTTCTGAAGCATTCACACATTTACCAGGATTAACATCATATGTTACAACTGCAACAGTTAACGGAATTCCAACAATGTCTCTAAATGGAAGTAAGTGAACTGTTTTCTTAACAGAAGTATCAGTTATTCAATGTTAGCTCAGATTATACCACTTGGATCCGCTAACGATAAAGCCTTTTAATATTTTTTAAACATAAAAACCCCTTGTATCACTTGTAGTTTTGTTTTTTTATCGGTTTTAAATCATGATCTGATCGTCATTGAAAATCTGTAAGGACTGAACAATCATTTCTCCCTAGCATGAGACTCCTCAAGAGTGGGCATCCACGACCTTGCACCTAAGAATCAAATCCAGTAACTTCGTTATCGCGCATGAACACTTAACCTTTAAACAAATGAGTCGGTATCCAGTGGTTTTAGTGTCTACACTGATCCTTTTGCCGTATTGTGTGATCATCTATAGCCTGGGCTGATTAACTGTTTCACTCACGACGTAGTTGAATTCCTCAGGCTTTTTTGCTAACTTGGTGTAGGTCGGTAATATCCTCTGTTCAAGTTTATTTCTGCCTCTTTTTTACGTGTTGTAGTATAACGCTAAGATTAACCAGTCTGTCTAGTTTCAAATGAAACCAAAGATGTTCATTAGGTACTGTCAGTCCAGTCAGTTTTCCTTTTTATTTAAACAGGTTAAATGTGTGCGACTGGAATCTACTGGAAAAATGGATTTTCCACTCTTTAATTTGTTACCTACGAAGTTACACAATATTACTGTCTATAAGCGATAAAAGAATGTAGTCTTGATTTACCATGTTAGGTATTTAAAACCAAGTAAAATAATCATAGTTGGTTATTGCCACCGATTTCATCAGCATAAACAACATACCACTGTGGTTGAGTGTTCTTAAAATTCAGTTAGTGAGATTTATACGATTTAACAGATTTTAAACACTGAAAACTCTAATACAGTTTGAGGAGATTAAGAATGAGGCTTAGTGAAATTAAATCTTTAGCATTAGTTACCCATACTGAAAAGAATACAATCAGTGATGAAGGAATGATTATATATGAGTAAGCTAAAAAGATTTATGATACAAGGAGGAATGTCAGTAGTGATGAAGTATATGGACTTCAGTGATAATAGTTATGTTCGTAGGTAAATACTTTCCGGATACCTCACACTATTAAAGGATATTTCTTTTCTAAGGAACTTGAATTAGTATCAACTATTTTTATCGACGTTGTAATGTGACGACAACCACTCAGGAATTGATTGTTCTTAACCGTGCACTTGATCTGTTTGACAACATTTGTTTCCAATCACGACATACAGTAACCCCATTGTATAATAGAAGATAGGTGTTTATATTAAAAACTGATCTATTCTGATTTTATTTTTGTAACTTTGAGAAGATAGTTGATATTCTGTTTGAGAAAACCTACTTTTACTGCACTTCGGCACATTCAGTATTATGATTTCATCTAATCTCGAGTTCATCACCTTTATTTTTATCACTTCCAGTATTCAAACTTCGAAAGTTGTTTCTTAGTCAATATGAATGGTTCTGCTGTAGTTTCAATAGGCAAGCCTGATTACTCAACCAGAGTCGGCAGCTTTAACACACTACATTAGTTACTTCAACATAGTGATCATTCCATAGTCTTTGAATCATAAATTAAGTAGTTGTTTTGTCCCCCTCCCAGTTTAGGATTGGTAACTTAGCATGTAATTCATACATAATCCCGTTTTCACAGGTGATCTTCAAAATGAAACCCTCATGTCTTCCACATCCCTTGCTTCTTCAAATGTGAATAGTAGTAATGTTTCCAGTCTTATGGCTCCTATCACTAGTAATAATGGTGGAAGAATGGATTCTATTTTAGGTACAACAACAACGACAACTAATATTGGATCACCGAATAAAAGGAAATGGCGTCGAAAATCTAAACCGAAACAAGCTCAAAATGCGTTTGGAAAATTGGTAAGCAGTAGTTTTTTCCATTCATTTCTCAATTATTCTATTATTGGAAATTTGAGACCATATAGTCCAATGTGACACTAATTCTTCAGCTTACTCACAGCTTCACTTTCTTCATCTTCAGTGTGAATGCGACTAAGGATCATTCAATTTATTTGCCTTCCTTACACTAACAGTCATAACTCGGTATAGTGCTGTGTTTACGTTGTAGCTGACTGACTGACTGACTATGGAGATGACAATGATCGTGTTTCGGTTAACTTCAATCGCCTTTTAGATGAATTCCTATATGTTTTTTTTATATCATCTATTTCTTTTGGTTTCATCAAATCAGTCACTAGCTGGAATTTTTCAGTCTTAGGAGATAGAAAATCGCACAAATTATGTTTGATATTTACGGTTGTGAGTTGAAGTCGACTGTGGTCATTACAAACTGTTTATAAATCTTCTTCAGTGCATGTTTTCGGGTGTATGTAAGAGAGAGTGTTAGGTCATGAAATTATATAAGGTGTATGATATAATTGTGTATCACTTTATATGTCAAGTGATTACACTCCCAGCATTCGTTAATAATACTAACTAACTGGAACTGATTCACACAATAGGTTCGTATTTCGTCTTTCGTCTAATATGATTAGTTGAATTATAAATATCTTTTAAAAACTTCTTAACTGTACTACTATTAGCTGTGCAATGGCTTATATTAGTCAAAGCACTAAAGTTTCAAATAATAGCTTGAAGGTTCGAACCCCGCTCTAGCTACCTTTATATATGGAGAGAGAGAGAGAGGGAAAGTGATTTATCCCATTTATATTTCTATAATAAATTATAATTATATACATATCGTGTATTCAAGCAAGAAAAAATTATTTCTATCTGTTAAATCGTTGAATGCTATGAAATTTTTCCAATTGGATAACGTTGTGTAACTAGTTTGGCACATTGTTTGATTTGCACATAATTTATACAATTATTTAATATCATGGTTTTCTTTACTTCTTATTATTGTAGACCGGTGATGGATTGAATTTATTAGCTGGGATTAATTTAAGTGAAGGCATCGATGTTAATGCTGCTGCAGCTGCTGCTGGAGCGGCGGCTGCTGCTATCGGTGGTCCAGTTCCATTAGATCGTAAAGGTCGTCCATGTAATTATCCTTGTCCTGCTTGTCCACGTCGTTTTGCTTTCCAATGTCGTCTTGCTGCACATCTTCGATGTCATACTAATATTCGTCCATTTATTTGTATTGATTGTGGTCGTGCATTCACACAAAGAGGTTATTTAGTTCGTCATGCAGCTGTTCATAAATTAGATAGACCATTTTCATGTGGATTATGTGATCGATCCTATAAACATTATGGTTCATTAGTAAATCATCGACGAACTCATAGTAAAAGTAGTGGTAATGCAACAAATCTTGGTAATTTAAATCTTTTATCAAATTTAGGAACAATTACATCAACTAATATTGGGACATTATCTAGTTTAGAAGAAGTAGTCAGTGGTGCATTAGGTCAATCACATAAAACTGATTCAACATCAGATACAATGAATAATCAATCGACTACAACCATTACATTATTACCAGTTAGTAAAGTTGAAGAAATTTTACCCGGTGATCTTAATAGTTCTATTCAACAAGTATGCTTATCATCAGGCAGTAATATATTAACTGTTTCTGAGGGTCAAGAACAACAGCAACATAATTCAGAACAAGTAACATCTCATCAGCTTACTGCCACTGCAGTATGGCCAATTTTAGCCACAGGTGGTGGCGGTGGCAGTGTTGGTATTAATCATGTTTCACAAGCTCAATTAATTCCTTCCTCTATTGTACAGCAACAATCAAGGCAAGCTATGGTTTCTGGTTCACATTTCTCTACTATAACGATCTCACCTACACAATTAGCTCAACCTAATCAACCGTCTTCATCATCATCTCAACAACAACAACAACAATTACCACTTGTAACTGCCCCACGACCACCTCACTTAAGTCAATCAACCAGTACAACTATGTTATCAACTGCTAGTGTAATAGCTGGTAATGGTGGTACATCTGCTCCTACATTTGTAACTCTTCCTTTATTCAATGGTTCAATACAAAATAACTTAACAGAATCTGATAGATCTATTATTAATGGTCAGTTAACTCCTCATTCACATCATCAATTTCATTGTCCAACAAGTACATTGTCCGATTCATCACAACAACAACAACATCATATTCAAATTGCACAAACAACGGCAACATTACAACAACAACAACATATTCAAGCAAATAATTCAACTACACGAGTAAGCGGTGTCGATTCAAATAATAATAATAATACAGCTCCAGTACTACATGTACTACAACCATCACCGAGCATTTTCTTCTCACCGTACTATCTACCACATTCGGCAGCATCTCAAATGTAGACACATACTCACACACTTGCATACATACATGAAAGGAACAGTTGAACTTTGGTAGAATTTATTCTTGCTAATACAAAACATCTATGTATGCACTTATATAAATGTATTTATATGCATGACTATATATATATAGCTCAAATAGTGATGCAACACACTGGGTTACTACTAACTTCTTTTTTTTCTTCATTTTTATGTATGAAAAAGACGTTCCAATTGTAATTTATACTGATAATTAGGATCATGTTCTCTCTATTGTCCTCTATTTTTTTCCCAATCATTTTATCCCTTGTTTACGTGTGCGTGTGTGTGTGTGTATGGATGTAAATTTGTGCCATATACACGTGTACAACAATTACACGCGTACATTAATTTATCTGCTTATATTACAATTATTTATTTATTTATTATTTAATAATAATAATACTGCTACAATTGTCTTATTCCATAATGATCGATTCGATTCTCATCATTAAAACTACTAATTATTATCTCATTATTATTATTATTGTCAGTATTCGGTATAATTATGATTATTATCAATTCATATGTGATCTCTGTGTTGTTTTCTTCTCTCTCTCTCTCTCTCTCTCTCGTTTGTATGTTTGTTTTACACCTACTTTCCGTTCCTTTCCTCTCTTTCTCTCTCTCTCTCTCTTACACACACATATATATTGCTGTTAGATATAAAAAGATCATCATGTAGAGGATTTCAATCAAGTTGTCTTCTGTTTTGTTTTTTGTCCTCTCTATTTTTAAAGTTGCTTATTCACATTGCATTTCTTTTAACTCGTTGTCTTGTTCACCTATTCTTATTCTGTCTCTCCCTCTCTCTCTCTCTATTTCTTTTCTTGTTTGTATTCCTAACTGACTGACTGACTGATTGATTGATTGACAATAATAATGACACATTCATCAGAGAGAATAATTAATATATATCTATCTATCTTTATCTTTTGTATATTTTCAAAGTATATTGTATGAATGACATGAATGTTTAATTGTTTCCATTCTTCTCCTTTCTCACTCACTCATTTACTGGATTTGGATCCCTATCATTACTGCTGTCTCTTATTGTATTGTATTGTATTTCTCTATTATTTTTTTTAACAAATCACTTATTGTCTATTGTATTATTATTATTATTATTATTATTCTTTGTATGTCAATGTGAATATGTATTTGGTTACATTGTTTAAAATGGTTATTCATACACCATTCAATAATGAGATGATGATGATCATCATTATCATCATGTAACTGGGAGTTTCTTCCATTTAATTTTTTTTCATTTTCTTAAATGATTACTATTTTAAATGAATATGTTTCGTTTTAATTACCAAACTCACCTTCATCTTACAAACATACACATACACAGATACATAGAGACAAAGAAGATGTCATCATTGTTTGTTGTGTTTCTTTTATGATGTACGAATGAAAATTTCTATCAACAAAAATGTTTCCTCAAATATTTGTTGATTATGTGTATTATGATAATGATGATGCTGATTGTACTTCCATCAAATAACCATATTAATAATAATAATAATCATAGTAATAGACAGAGTTGATTTTAATATTCTTTTTATTTATGTATTACACACAACAATTAGTATGTGTAAATATACGTGGATCTCTCTCTCTCTGTGTGTGTGTGTGTGTGTTTCTTCATTTCTCTTGTAGACCTATATATCTATATACGTGTGCATATTTTCAATCTAAACACATTGTCTTCTTTACCTTGTTATTGCTTGTTTTGTTTTAAAAATGATAAACATATATAATCTATGCATATATATATATAGAGATATATATATATATATATATACACCTTTCATCTATCTATCCATTTCTTTAAATGCATTGAATGTATTTGTATGTATCTATTTATTTATGTATAATGTATTTGTTTCTTCTTTTCTCTTCTCTTTACTCACTCACTCATTCATTCTCTACCTGCCTATGTGTGTATGTGTGAATGAGTGAATAGGTGAATCAATAATGAGTCTCTCTCTTTCTCTATCATTCATTCATATAGACATTTTAATATGATCAGTACTATTTAGTAATGTTTATATCATGTTTATTGCAAAGTATTCTTATTCTTATTCATATTCACATTATAAATACAATACAAGTATTATAACTATAATGTATTGTTATAATAATTATTTGGTATGGTTATCAGTAATATTTTTATCATCATCATGTTAACAATATTAATAATAATAATAATATTACCTAACAAGCGCATACATAAGATAGAGTAGTTAGTTAGCCCCAATTTTCTTCAATGTAGTCTATTTCACATGGATATAAAATGATCAACCAAATAACATGGATATTACCACCACCACTACTACTACTAGTAGTAGTAGTAGTAGGGGTAATCTGGAAAGAGAATCTATCCATTATCATCAACAATGAATTCATTTGTCTCTTTCTTCTTCTTATTGTTTATTATTTTTTTTGTAAGAAAAAAAGAAAGAATTTTTTGGTTTTTCCCTTAAAATAAATTTTCTTAGAAAAAATTAATGATGAGGATAATGTGAATGATTTATTCCATTATTATTTTTTTGTCTTTTTTTGGCAGATCATACATTGTAAACTGATAGTCATTGTGTGTGTGTGTATGTGTGTGTGAGGCGGTAGGTGATTGGTTGTTGACGTACATAAATTCAACTTGACAATTGTTTATATATGATGATTCCAATAATCGTTTACGTGAATTAACACGTAGCAACATATTTAATAGACGATCAAATAAAAGAATATAAAATAACCGAATGTACTTTTGTTTTATTATTACTAAATTAGTGTATTCTATCAAATTGGGTATTCTTTTGTTTGTTTGTTTGCTTGTTTGTTTAATCTACTTCTCTGTTGTTGTTTTTTTCCTTTTTCCAATATCATAGTTCACTATTTACTAACAATCATTTCCATATAGGTAACCAATGAACAATAATACTGATTAGAGAGGTAAACAATTGTGTCTATGTATTTATTTATTTATTCATTTACATTGTTTCTTATTTTAACCCGGTACATTTTACTCGTATAAATCTATCTATCTATATATATATATATCCATTGCATAAATATATATGTAGACGACTTGAAAATATCATATGAATAATGACATATATTTTTATTTGCACTATTGCCACTACGACTAATCGCATTGTTACAATGAAATCAGTTTCTTAATGTGTCTTCCTTTAAAAAAAAAGGGAAAGATTGAAAGAAAGAAAGAAAGAAAGAAAAAAGCAACCAAAAGCGAAAACAACCAGTTTATCTTTGCTGACTCCTCATCTTTTTTGTTTGTTTGTTTTTATTACTATTTACAATGATGAAATGTTGACTGTTATGACATTTAGCCAAAATGGGTTTCGATATATATACATATATATATAACTATTTATAACACAGGATAGTAAAATTATATTCTGTGGTTTGTGTAAAACAAGTTTTAATCGTAATTTTCTCTTTTTTTTCACTTCTCTATCTTTTTATTCTTCTGTAAAAAGCATTTTCTCTTTCTTTATGTTAATTAATTCATTGTTAATTATTATTAATTATGATTTGTGTTTTATTATTAAATGAAATAGCTGGGAAAATAAGTTAGAAATTAGCAGTCTCTTTAAACAGAAGAGCCAATCATAATTTAGGTTTACCAGTATAGGGGTTGTGAAGATTATTAAGCTTTTAATTGAGATTATAGACTGGTTGATGTTAGACTACCTTTGGAAACCTGGAAGCACTGGACGGCCGTTTCATCCTATTGTGGGACTCCTCAAGCAGTGCGCACCCACAATACCGATCGCGGGATTCGAACCCAGGGCCTTCAGTCTCTTGCGCTAACGCTTAACATACTGGACCACTATGCCGGCATTCAATGATGTTAATGTCTAACATCAACCAATCCACGAAATTGCGCGACCATTTCCCATTGTACTGAAGTAGATACCTGTGTCTACCCGACACTGATTAGCTCACTAGAACCCTAAGAATTCCCTCATGGAGCTAGTCACTAGTGAGGACATGTGAATTGTTTTATTTGATTGTTAGCTGAGAATAGATCCATAAATATGGTAATATAGTTTTGAAAATACAAAAAGAAAATCTTTATAATTAATTAAGATGAGTTCATCATTTCCTGACTAATTTATTCATCCAATGATTATCGTCATCATGATCGGTTAATGGCAAACAATGTTAAGGTTGTTATTCTTTTTTTTGTGTGAAGTAATCATGATTACAGATTATAGGTAATGAATTCCATCCAGTTCTGTTGGTTTGTTTTAGTTAGAAAGTTTGCGATGAAACCGTTATCATCATATAATGAAGATATTTTAAGATCAAATCATATTTTATCATTGATTAACTAACAATCTAAATCAGAATTAGACAGAGTTATTTAAGATGTACTAAAGATGGATCAATCGTCTCTTTTTTTGTTGTATATACAAGTTTATCACAATTTAAAAGCTGGATATATATTCATCGATTGTTGATGATCATAATTAAGGTATTTTGTAGATATCGGAGATTTAGCATTATAAATATGAGATTGTTTATTCTAAGATGTAAGTCAATTCTATCTTGTCTCATAATGGCTAATTCATATTGTTAAGTGGAAAAATATGATATACTAGTTTCTTTTGATCTTCATTTACTTATCTTATTGAAAAATCTAATGCTTAATTTTTATAATTTAAATGTGATTAAGTAGTGAGAAATGTTTTTCTTTAAAAATAAAATAACTGTTAAAATGAACATATAGTTTTGTTGTCATAGTTGTGACTATCAACAGCATTCACTATGAAATATTGTAAATAGTAATACGGTGTGTGGCCCCCTAAGAAAACCACCTGCTTCGGTCCGGGCAGTATCACAGCTTTCACACATATCGAATGAGATTTGTGTGGCGCATATGTATTTGGCGCCTCCTTTTACCAATGTCTATGTGTTAAAATAAATAAATACAGTAGTAGTAGTAGTAGTGGATGAAACTCTTGTTATAATTGGATATTAAAACGAGATAGGATTCTCCATGTTTTCAATGGTGATCTAACATTGATTGGTTCGTGATTTCAAAAACAGTTGTTTATGTTTTAAAAATCTATATGGATAGGACGTACCTTGAAATAACTGAATCATGAGTGAACTAACATATCCTTTATGAAAATTGAGCTTTTACAGTTTGTGGCGTTGTGTACATAGAGACTAAATGTTAAACCTCATGGATTTACGAAACATTCGGTAGGATACCCGTTCAACCAGTTGGTGGCTCTTTGAAACCAGTCGATAACGAGTTATGATTTGAAGTAATGGTTACTGGTTCTGAGTCTCATTGTAAACATCGATACTTAGGTGTAGATATATTAAACTGACGAATAATAATATGAAACGCGTTCCTTGGATTGCTGACTGCGACCTCAGAGATGCCATGAACTTTAGTCTAAGGCCATTTCAGATCACTTGCTCAAAGTACGAGTATGTCAACCGAGAACGATCAAACGCAATCTTGAATACATATCTATATGATATTAACGACAGCAAAATACAAGCGGACATTTATGTCTTTCATTTAATATCATACTCACTATTCGATATTAATTGCAAGATCAGAAACTCAGCGACTCGCTCACCTCATGTGGAGTAAGGTAAAAAGGTCGAAGCCTACGCTCACTTTCAACATGTATACGAGAACCTATCTCGGTATGGTTCTACAAGGATGAAGTGAAAGGGGTTAGTATTTCCGTCATTCACCATTTGAAGTGAAGGAGAGCCGCAATTTCAGAAGTTAAACTAACTGAGATCGCGGCTACAATCTGAGTTCATCTGACTGGCCTCAGTCTCATTGTCCTAGATTATAATTACGGACGCAATTCCGTCTATGATAATCATGCTAAATGCTTCTTCACAACTGCTCTGTGTCAACGTTTGCACTAATGGTAGGGAACGAAGTAGTCGAACGTATCGATCACTTCACTTATGTTGAAAGTCTGATCAGTCCCGGTGTCTGATGAAGTATCGGCACGAATTCAGGAAGGTTTATAAACTTTTATCAACTTCTGTCGTTTGCGGCGTAGACGAGACGTCCGCTTGTTAATCAAACAACGAATTTACTCCATATTATTTCATTTTGT